TTAGCTTTTGGTGTTGGTTTTAGCCTCTAGTGTGCTGATTTTAGCTTCTGGTGTCTTGTTTTTATCTTCTACTGTGATGATTTTAGCTTTTGGTGTGCAGCTTTTAGTTTCTGCTGAGCTGATTTTGGCTTCTGGTGTCATAATTTTAGCCTCTGCTGTGCTAATTTTAGCTTCTGTTTTACTGTTTAAATATTTTAATTAATAACAGCTCAGCTACTCAAATCCTTTGACCCAGTTCCAGTGGTCATTCAGATCGTTTCCTCACAGAAAACGTTTTCTCTTGTGTTTTTTTCATCAGATGAAACATCAGTGTAACCTCTTCGGCTGTGGCCTTCCCCTCAGCCGTTTGATTATAACATTTCAGTTGTGTTTGTGCGCAGCTCCCTGAGGAACAGTGGCCTTCCCATGAGCTTGGCGGGAACCTTGATTCAAACTTACGTGGGGCAGTTTGGTACCGGCATGAGGAACGTGATGCACAGCCACAGGGCCTCCAGCAGAACGATGATCAGCCACTGTGGCCAGTACAGGAAAACATCCTGAGCAGGTTTGCTCCAGTGATACTGCAAACACAAATGTTGTTCGCGCTGTGAGTTTTATAGAACGCCAACAAACTTCCTGTCCGCCATGTTGGAAGACACACAACAGACCAACAACCAGACAGAGCTGGAGCGACGCTGTCGACGCACAACGTTAAGTTTCTGAGTTTATTATAAGCTGAAAAAAATCTGCAATAAAATGAAACTGAGGAAATACCAAGACGAAGTTGATGTTAATGGCTGTCAAGAACAGAATGTAAAGATTTATGATTCAACACTATGGCCCACATGTGAATGATCTCCAGAAGGATTGTCCGATGTTTGTGGGGAAGTCACACGTTCACACTGTAAAATTGTTCTCGTTTCCAGGCCAAGTCACTAGCTAGCTGTGATTTTTGTATTTCAACGATACGCACGTGTGTGGAGACACTTCAGTCTCAAGAATGAAAACCGTTACATCCAAGAAGATGAATACGTGAACGTTGGTTTGGACGGAGGAAGTGGTTGGTTCAGTCCTACGCATTGTGATGAGTGATCAGCACAAACAGCACTCTGCTGTCCGCCGCCGTTACTGCTGTTCATCTGCACCTGCCAGCGCAGAGGAATTACTGACTGCAGCCGTTCATAGTGCACAGAGGGGGCGTCGGAGGAAACGGCTACAGTTGTCGCAGCCGAAACATCAGGAACGCTACGGGGTCACTGAAAAACTGCGTCACGCAACGCGGCCTTTATCTGCATCTGATCACCTCAGGTTGGTCTGTTATGTTAAATTATATGGAGATGGGGTTCTCAAACTGTGGTGGCACCACTGGTGGTACCAAAGATCAGTTGTAGTCAGAAAAAAAATTACAACTTTTCCCAAATTCAACAATAGGCTTGACGTCGGTTATAAGCTGAACAGTGAAGATTAAAAAAGAGAGACGGCTAAAAGTATGAGTGATTGAAGCAGATTACGATAACGGCTGGAAACAGAAACGCAACGGAGAATATTTGAGAACCTCTGTGGAAACTGGAGTGGACGATGGTTCACTGATGTACCAGCAACAAAAGGTGCGAAACGGTGAAGAAGTCTGATTCAGTTCATCTAAATGTGTTTAGTTGATCCATCCATCCGTCCATCCATCCATCCCTCCATCCATCCATCCATCCATTATCTTTACCCTCTTCTTCCTTTTCAGGTCACTGGCGCCCATGTTCAGCAGTCTCTGAGTGACAGGCGGGGGACACCCTGCTCGCTCTTTAAATCATAAACTTTCAATAAACTATTTTTCCCTCAGCATGACTTGTTATCGTAGGCATCTCAAATGAGTTTCAAACGTTTCTTATTTTGTTGCAGGCTTCTCAAACTTGTCCAACTTTACTTTTCACGAATTTAGACAGTAAAAGCTGCATTTTAAAACGGACAAGGAGCTCATCTCTGAACTGGAAGTGGCAGAAATGAAGATGTTGAGGTTCTCAGGAGTGACGAGGATGGAGAAGATCAGGAATGAGATCATCAGAGGTACAGACATGTCCAGAGGAGGGACAGTGGTTTGGACATGTCCAGAGGAGGGACAGTGGTTTGGACGTGACCAGAGGAGGGACAGTGGTTTGGACATGTCCAGAGGAGGGACAGTGGTTTGGACATGTCCAGAGGAGGGACAGTGGTTTGGACATGTCCAGAGGAGGGACAGTGGTTTGGACATGTCCAGAGGAGGGAGAGTGGTTTGGACATGACCAGAGGAGGGACAGTGGTTTGGACGTGACCAGAGGAGGGACAGTGGTTTGGACATGACCAGAGGAGGGACAGTGGTTTGGACATGTCCAGAGGAGGGACAGTGGTTTGGACATGACCAGAGGAGGGACAGTGGTTTGGAC